TCCGGTAACGTACATAGCCAGATGTTCTTTTAATATATATATTTCTGATATTGCCTTTTTTTAAAGTGATTTTATTAAGCGAGCACTCTACTTACTCCATGCTCTATGAACATGTACGTATAATTAAATCTTGTAAGATGTGAATTGTTAAGAGTTAAATTAATTACTATGAAAATATTTTTATAATATTATTTTATATAACTAATTTAAAGTACAAAGTGCATAATGCGCCTAAATTCTGTCGTACAACAGCCCAGTGTGCGCTCGCCCTTAGCTTTTGAGACAGTGGGGTCGATGACTCGATCTTCATTGTAATTTACAATTTATTTAAATGCCCCGTTTTGATAGATGAGAGTAGGATTTTGCAACGTATAAAATTTTTATGTCTGCTCTTTGTATATTCAATTCATATTAAATCATTACAATTAATTAGCGGCATAATTTTTCACTTAGCTCACATCCTCATATGGTTCATATTTCTTTAGTACAGTGAAAATTAAGTATAATGTCTCTGTGTCTTGTTTATGCATGCATAAAAGCAATACATTTTACAAATAACTGTAATTGCGAATACATAAAGCGTTATCCACATCAACCCTACTTACATAAATATTTACCGTACATACGAAATTATAATATTATTTATCATTGTTTCTGAAACACAATAGATCGTATCATTTGAATAATTTTATCTGATACAAGTGTATATGTACTATTGTGCCACCACGGTACAGTCGCCCGCTGAGCTGCTTCAATATTTCGTGTGTTCAATTCTCATACTATACACACAACAATGTTATTTAATATAATATAAAACATTTCATAACACTCCCCTATATATATGAGTTTTCTTTTTAATATTACTTATAAAAATCTCGACAGTCTTATTTATCTGTAGCTTTACATCAACAGTGAAATATTAAATGTGTCACAACGTAGAGTTCCTCGTCGACTGTACTGTAACAGACGACGTAAGTTCCCGAGCGCTTTTCTTACCCTGCATTGGATTTGGAACTTTAAGAATATGTGAAAAGGTTAAAATTATATTTTTTATACATATATAACGTTATCATGTTCATAATACTCAACATCTCCACTACATTTATAAGTATTCGCGCAATGGATTAGAACCGATACAGCGCTGTTAAGATTTACATTGAATAATAGTGGCCTTGAGATCTCATTGTATTCTTAAGTTTGGCAGTATGTGGTACTGGTACTGGTACTGATTGTTCGTGATATCTCAGCGATGTAATTAGGTTGCCGGTTTGTGTACATTTATCAAACGGCAGCGGAGTATTTGTGTCGGTCGGGTTATTTGATACGATATTAAAAATAAGACGTGATTACAATCGTTCACGTTTGTCGGTCGATTTACTGGACGTTCTAGATATTGTCGAGGATTTGTTTTACCTTAGAAGCATTCGTAATAAGGTAATTCAGCCATAATGGCCAACGGCGCATTCATTATAACTGACATTTAGATAGAAATGTCCATTCGCTGGTGGTTTTTCTTTAAGATACCCTTTTTTCATTTCTTATCAAGACCATCTTCTGACCTTAAGATGGGAAGCATTTGAAATACTTGCATAAAATTGCGAATACAGTGAAAACCAACGGTGCGAGAATAATTAAGGATTCCCCCCTTAATAAGTTGCAATTTTCATCCTTCTTGCAATGCAATGCAGATAGTTGGTCGTCGAAAAATGTACGATGAAACATGAGTAAATTTGGATATCAATGCAGTGCAGGTCTTGGGTATCCAAGAAGCCAGTGGCTAGTAGGTACCGTCCGCAGCCGCGCAAGAGCATCGAGCGTAGAATACATTGGTTAATTTATTGTATCTGATGTGCGGTGCTGGGACGCATGCGTCGTTGCCGTCGCGAATGTTCTAGACGCCGTTTTTATATGTTTATGTATTCTAATTTTATTGTTTTCTTTATTTGCGTCCCACTTTTGTTTGGTTCGGCCCGGCATTGTTCGCTGTCGTAAACGCCGATTTAGATGATAAATAAAATGTTGTAATAATAAAAATTTGCCGTATGAATTTTTTTTTTTATTTAGTGAACGTATTTTTTTATCGCGCCCGCTCCGCTGTAATATTCTGTGTTTTTCTTATGTTACGCGATTGCGTAATAAATTTTTATTATTTATACGGTGGACCGCAGCTCGCTTTTAATATTTTGTTTATAGATACAGAATTGTTATTACTTTCCGTCGTTTTAATCATACGAGCATTACGTTCGATAAATTACAATTTTCTTTTATTAATATCGTACGTTCGATATTCCGTACCCGTTATGTTACACTGCATTCGTCATTGACATCTATTTAATGTAGATATGATAAAAGTTAACAGGCGTTTTAATAAGAGGCTCATGTAAACAGTTATGAGATCATTGCTTTACCGATAGTGATGATTGAAAGGCAATTTGTCAGCTCTGCTAGACTCGTCACATTAAACGGGTTATAGTATAAGGCTGAGTGCTCTTAGCTGCTTCTATGGGGATTATTTCCGTGGAATATTGCCCGATTGAACATAAAATTATTACAATCTTGTCTCCCTATCAGAAACATAGAATGAATACAGGCTGGAATTATTAAGATCGCCTTTTTGTTATCTCAGCTGTTTCGTTTTTAATAAACTTGAGTTTTTTTTTGTATAATATAAACAATGTAATTATAGGCATATTACTTTGTCATTAAGTTATTTTGCGGTGAGCAGAGAAAAAACGCGATCGTGCCCCATCTGCTCTTTTCGTTTCATTGTTATAATTATAACTCACGATCAGACATTAAATATTAAAGTGTACGGTGATCGACATGCGTACGGCGATCCACACGAGTTATACGATTACAAGTCGTAATGAAGACAGAGAAAAAATCGATTCGATAGTTCTATCACTGCAACAATACACTACAGAATTCGATAAAGGATTTTTGTTTTTTTTTAGATGAAAACTCTGAAAGTTAATATAGAGCGAGTTTTATTACAATAAATTTAAGACCATCGCAGACGATAAAACTTAATCTAAATAGTTTTTATACAGATATAGAAGGGTAGAGTAATCTACGAAAGTAGCTAAAGTGATATTTAGAGGTGATGGTTAGTCGATGTTCGCTGTTATAAAGATTTTATTCATGTAAGGGTGCATACATACTAGGAAAGTAATGTTATAGAAGTTAGAAACAACTCATCTTCGTCTATATGTGTCGCATCTGTGAGATCCATTCGTTTGTGACGCGAGAAAAGCCGCGGGAAATTTTTATACAATAACTTTTCTATTTGCATTGTTGTAAGCTATTAATCGAGGTGACGTATGAGTAAATCATTCATTCACTCATCATTCGATAAATATTATGAATATGAGGAATATTTTCCGATGTAAGCCCAAGGATGATATGCAAAGTTCAGAACAACTCGCAAGTTCCCGGTCGATGTTCAAGTTCTATTTCCGAAGGACCACGAAACCGACACCACCATCAGCTGTAATAAATTTCTTGTCTTATAAAAATAAAACTTTTCTTTTTGCCCTCCGCTCCGATGGCCACAGAGTAGGTGAAGCCAGAAGTCCGTTTTAATTTTCATTATTTAGGTCGATCTTTATCAAGTGTGTTCTTATGGTGTATGTTAAATATATAATATATTATAATACTGTTATGGAATGTACATAAAATATTGAACCTGGACCTTCATTTGACTGTGAGGATGAAATATATTATATTTATAAAATATATGTATATTAAAATATTAAATATTTGTTGTTTGTTGTGTAAAGTTAGTCTGTGTCGGGTAGGGTGGGTGAGGAGCGGGCGCCTACAAAGTTGTGAATTGGCCTCGCACAGCGCCCCGCATTATCGTGATTCATGTCTCTTACAATTTTATATTATGTTAAAACGGGGGAACAGGGGAAGGGGATATTAAAAATACAAGAGCCGCCGAGCACTTTCTGCACCGTTTGCATGGAAACCGACTTTGTTTGTGCTAACTATTGATCGGACGAAATTCGGTAAGACTTACAGTTGTACCGTGTACTTATAATATGACCTTTACAATTATGATGTTCAACGTCATCTAAACTTAAAATGTATATATATGTATACAACCATAATTTCTTATTCCTTATTATAATGATTTTACGCTTGCAGAAGTTATTAAGAAAATTGTTTTGACATACCAGTTAGTATGGGATTTTGGTTCTTGGGCTGTTGTCTTAAGAGCGTTCTTGGAGTACAAGTCACTAGAACTGGTGTCAAGTGATAACACCTTATTTGTAAAAGGGGCTAATTAAAGTCGAATACTAAAATAATATTAACTTGGCGCATTAACTACAAATGTCGAGTTTGTTTTTAATATGACGGGTTTATAACGACGCTTGGGGAAAAAGTTGGATAGGATATGCAATAGCTCTTTAAGGCGAACCGTCTATATCTGTGCTTTATATTTTTTAAACATCTACTAAGTAACTGTCTCTTATCGAAAATGGTAGGAGTTTGTTTATTGAATTCAATATATCATCCATATAAAGATGTACACTAGAAGACAAAAAAATATATAAGTACATATGTTTAAAATTTAATTCAAATATTAGGGTATTTTTAAAAACGTTAATAAAGTATTGTATGTTATCTGACAGTAGAAACATGAAACACGAGTATCGGATAAATCTGATAAATATATTGTATAAAAAACATAATTATTTAGCGTAAAATAATTTTTACCCTTCTGGTATTTGTATTCCGTTACCGAGAATAAAATGCGCTTGAATAAAATACAACGTAATTTTTTTAGAGCCGTCTGCTGCCTTATTAAGTTAAGAAAACTTTTTAATGAATATTAAGTACTTACCTGTTTTTATTGATATCAATCAAAAACATTGTATTTATTTATATTGGTATGTCCACACCGGCGAAGACTCGTCGCGTCTTGTCGGCGGGTAGTTTTAAAAACGCTCACAAGCGCCACTAGCTCCATCTATTGTTAATAGCTTTATATCAAATTAAGCTGTTTCAAGGCCCGGCTCCACCTCAGTAGACGTAGCGTCTCGTGAGCCGTTATGAAATTCCGAAGTACGTAGAGCCGGCTGGTCGACATTGTCGCTCAATGCTGGGACACGGAAGCAACCTTATTAAATTACCCAAGCATCTATTAAACGGTCCGACAGACCGGCACGTACAACTACCGTACACACAATTTCATTATTAGACATCTATTTGTGACTCGTTACTCCTATTGTCGCTTTTTCTATTTATTATCAGATACAATGTGTGATTATAATGTGGCTCATAACAAATGAGATATGTGGGAGTCGGTCGTTACACACGGACGGTTTTGTTGACGTTCCGTTTTACTATGCAATTATGAGAGGAGCGTTTTTTTTTAAATATGTATCGCTGTTTTAAAATTTAAATTTTATGTTGTCTCTCTTTTTGTCTCTCTCGCACTTCAATTAAATATAAATCTACTTTCCAAGATAATTGCTGTAGTTTCAATAGAAATTTGAAACCAGCTATATCATGTTCACGAAACTAATTGCACATTGCACACAATAAATGCATCACAAATTGTATACTCATCCTATTTTTTAACTCAACAATAATACACTTTGCGAATTTAATACATAATTGTAAAATTGCATTGTGGAATAATTACGGTATTACACGTAGCTATTAGAATTATTACAATATTAACAGTAATAAAATAAATTTATGGGTTGCAAAAGAAAGTAGTGTAGCTCTATCGAGATGATAATGGACATCCTTAGAAACGACTTGTATTATAAATGTAACGTGATAACGTCCATCTTCTGCAAATAAGTATATATCTTAAGAGAATGGCATAAAGTATATAATCGCTTATCTAGCATCAATTACATTTTGAACTGTAGTATACTTGGAGGATTGTTGTATTGTATATTGTATCATTTTAAGATCGCGAATTTAATATACCGCTCCATCGATTATGCAACTTATTACGAGTGAATAGAGTTTATATCACATTCAGATTCTGTTGGCGAATAAATCCTGACTGTCATTTATTAGACTCGGGTCTACGGAAACTCTTTAATATGAAGGCTGAGTTGAACACAATGCGATCTATTAGCCTTGTAGTCGGTCCACAAACTCGTGATTGATACAAACGTCCCATACATTTTATATTAAAGTTAAAATTTATTAATATTGACATAGTGAAAGAAAGACTTGTGAACAGAGCTATCAATACATACTTACAATGTTCCCGTTTCGCATGACTACACACCCTTGCTGTTTTAATCCGTCTACATATAATGTTTTTATTTATTTATAATGGTACACAACAATTACTTAGAAAATTGTATACAATAAATTCCCAGTAAGTTATAAATATCAAAGGAATAAAAATAACTGTTTTAAGTTCACTCAAGCAGTCTCATATTCTCTGGTTGATAGGAGTTTATTTCCACGGACGTATTTATTTATAGACGGAATTTTCTCAGAAGTGTTTCGTTGAGAAGAATCTCTTTCAATAAAGACATTGTGGATGTTGTCTTTGTGATGTTGTTAGTATTAATGTCATATCAACGGTCCTTATAAAAGTGCAATTGTCCTTGAACGTTTTTAGTCCATTAGTTCGTACGTACTGGTCACAAAAAAAACGGTAAATGGGGAAGTTGACGCTGATTTTTTAACTTACGTAGCAATAGTGTACCGGACCTTTACGCTGGCACTTTATCACTTAACTGTCCTAAATACCAAAAACATCGTTTTAAGAGTTTAATGTCCGATTGCCTTGTTGAAAATTTAGTTTTTGTGCCCTTTGATGTCTGGCTTATTGGTAAGTGCATCCGAAATTACATTAGCTTCTCGGATTTTGATTGCATTATACCCCACTGTGACATTGGGCTCACTGTTATGTTAGTGTGATCGATGTCTAAATATTACGTGGTCGTGCTAACTTTGAACACTGCAAATTAAAAATTGTCTGCCAGCCGTCATCATTAAAAGTGATGCTAGCTGAAACTAATTATTAACTTATGACAAAAGTTTCGGTTGTTCCATTGCGTACAGTTATTGTAACAGCTGATGTAACAGTTAACTAGGAGTTGAGCTTTATAAACTTTCCAATTCGTATATTTGACTCCATTCACTATATTTTAACTAACCTATGGAAAGTTCGGCGGCTGTTTTAGATAATACAAATTTTAATCACCTTTTTAATGCATCGCGGTGGAGAAATCGTAGTATAATATTATATGGTTGGAGCAGATGTAACAGTTTAATATGTTTTGTTGTGATTAATTCTTTTTTTTTTATTATTAAATTCCGGTGATTTTTGCAATCTTAAAGTAAAATTTTGTACATAAAATAACTAAGAACATTCCCTTTTTTGTTTTAAACTTTCCTACAACTTGGCCAATTTACATCATAGCAGGCTTCCTCAAAAGCTGCGTTAACTTTTAATTTAGTTTTATGTGTTAGCCATTATTCATTTAGAATTTTGTACATAAATTCTGATGTAATACATAATTTTATGGCTTCAAAACAGAAAAAGTTTACGCGTGGAAACATTCCTTTACAATTATATTCTAATGTCCTAATTTTTAAGTTCTCTGATGATCACAAAAAAAAAATTGATCACCTTTTCTTATGTTACAAGATACGTGATTAATATTTGGATTGTTGCAACAGAGATTTGCTCTTGTTGGAATCGGCCTGTCGGTTTTAAACTCACTTGTCTTGAAGAATACAATTGCCTTAAAAAAGGTTACAATAAAAAAACAAATAGAAAACCTGTGCAGATGAAACGACGCAGTTTTAATGAGTATTTTTAATATGAAACTATTTGTGAACATCGAATATGTCAGAGCCATTTTACTAAGTGATAGGGAATTAAATTAATAAGAGTCCTTGCGACTATAAAAAAGAGAATATGTTGTTTGTCTGTTTGTATATATAATATTTAGATGGTGATTAAATAAAAATATGTATTTTATATCTCTATTCAATGTTTGCTGCAGTTGTACGATCACGAAACAGGTCCGGCACAACTTTGTAGCCGGTCGTTTTAAATAACAAGTGTAATTAAATATATTGGAACTACATTTGTATCTATACATAATTATTGACACACATACAAAAGAATAATGTTTTTATTTTGATCACATATATTAAAATTCCATGTCTCTGTAATAGATCAGCAGTACAGGTAATGCAACCAAATGAACTTTATTAATTACTCGTGGAATGAGGTCGTTGTGCGGTTGTCGAACAAGAGGACATTGGTGTCGGAATTGCCAAAAAAAACTGGCTCTCGAGAAATCATTGCAACCTTTGACATTAAAGCAGTTCTATATTAATATTATGTCAGGCTGTACATTTTTTTTATATAAGAAAAAAAATATATTGCAAATAAATTATCATTGCATTACATAACTTTTATAAAGAACGACTACATTGTTGCTTTATTTTATTACGCACATTTAACAAGAAACAGCAATTGCATTCTAATGTAAAATAATACATATTATTATATTATATTCATATCGACTTCTTATATGTATGTGTGGCTGTGGAATAATTAGCAACAGTTACAGTTGGAAAACAATGTGTTAATTTTAATTCCATTAGTATTCGTTGCGGTTCTTTAAGTTGAAATCTTTTTTGAATTTTTCTTAATGTAATATAAAAATTTTCTTTCGCCGTTAAAACATCAGAGCTGTATTAGATGTGACATTGTTGACTTGGACGAAAAATGATCGATATTTAGTACCGATGCGGGGTTCAACGAACTACATCGCTTCTAATTAAACTGCCTATATATTATTGTTCCCCTCGTAGGCCGCCGCCGACGCACGAATGCGGGCAAATAATTATATTTATATTTTATTCTTACATCATTTTATTAATAGCCGCGACCTTCCCGACTGTTCCATTGTTGTACGTATGTGTGCTATAGTTTCCCCCGCACACACGCGAACCGACACTATGTCTACCGACTTTTTGTTGTAGGTTTATTAAACTTTGTTTCTTTTATAATCTAAGTCGATCTATTCACTTTATTGAACAATAGGTTAATTAACATGGTATCTAATCTAGCGTGTTATTATAATTATTTATCTGTATATTTTTATTGTTTCGATAAAAGAATAGTAAGTTCTCTCTCTCTATGTTCTTTGTAAATAAATAGGCTTCTTTGATAGGCCGGGATCACGCTGATATTAATTTGATACATCCATAGCGTTTATCGAATAAGATATTCGTTAAAGTAATTGTTCGTTTGTAGGGATCACGTACAGTGGTTACATCCCCTATACAATAAAGCCAGGTGTCGTTTGTGTTTACAACTGTTGCGTAGTTTGAATATGAACTCGCCGTAACTGAGAACAACATGTCTTTTTTTTATATCGTAACCGCATCGCAAACGTTACAATCTATATGTCAGTGTATTAAATGATTTGATCGGACAAATCGGCGGTTTATTTGTTAGAACAACGTGTTCACAAAAGTCGCAAGATCATGCCCGATGACTTACTTACAAAGTTGTAAGCCGCCATCAACCAGGCGACACATTAGCGACAAGAGCCCTTCTAGAGCCGGCCACTTCAACTTCGCATATTAAACTATAGTATGCAGCTATACATTAAGTTTAGGTGGAATTTCCTGATACATTCCATTACACTATACTTGACAATTTAACTATTAGGAGAATGCTAAGTGTGAATTGATTATACAGTAAAATAATTAACCCTAATTAATTCAAAGGGAAGCAAATATATGTCGCTTGTCTATTTAAGGTAAAACATTGTTTAATGCGATCGTGATCAACGAATAAGTTGTCTTAATTTTCTCCGTTAGTGATCTGCTTAAAGCCAGCTGTATCCACCTCGTAGCAAAAAGACCACACCATCGCACGAAGAATCCATTCCAATTTACGTCATATTCTCGTTGCAATAAGTTGTATTATGCCGTGAATGAGAAACGATGAAAAAGAATACTTTTGTTTCTTCCTGTACGAGAACATTTTTATGAATGCATAAAATAATTAATTAATCATACATTTACTGTGTTAAAAGTCGCGTCGCCGTTTTTTTTCTGTTATTATTCATTGCTTTAATATATATGAAGTGTAACGTAGTGGTTTTAAATAATTTATATTTTAAATCGAATTGTATTTATCGGTATTGATTTCGCTCTAAGAATTGTTTCTTTGGATATATGATGTTTATTAAATATTACCGTTGTCTTGATCGTCATTATGAAACACCTGTCGGTGCAATTTCGACAGGATGCCTTCGAAAACAATCAAATCTTAATTCTTTTCATACACCATTAGAGTCCTAGTCAGTATCGCTGTGATTATAATTCATTAGCTTTCAGGATGTGTACGTGTTATATAATTTAATGAGAACAGTTTTCGATTCCCTCTACAACCCATCAACAACTACTATTGGAATAGCTAATAAAGCAAATTGTAAAGACCACAAGCCGCTTATGCATCCCTAAACATTTCAAATGATATTTGACTTAATTTAAACGTTTGATTGGACAAAATATGTGTATATTACAGATGCGAGTACTTCAATCATATATTTATACGTAAATGTTTACGGTTAAAAGGTTGATGATTATTTCAATTAGTTAATTTGTTAGTATGTATTACCAAACTAGTTTTAATATGTACAACGCAAGATATTTATGTGTAATTTTAACCTTTACTCTTTCGTTAATATTTTGTTATTTATATTTATACATATATATGTGTGTGTTATATGTATATATGTGATAAATAATCGGTACACTCCTTTATTAATTTTGCAGAATAATAGTTCTTAGTTAGTAGTATATAAGGGTTGTAGTCCCCTGTAATACATAACGCTTGTTGAGTATAAAGAATGCTATAAACGTAAAAATACCTATATATTATTATAGTCAATATTTTATAGCAAGTAATTGCATATTATACTTATTTTATTATTTTTCGCTACAAAGAAATCCAATTACCTATGCATCAATTTATATGTTTTCATATAGCCGCTTAATATGAAACGGCTTTTTTTTATAATTAAAATTTTGCTTCTGCTATAATAATAATATATTTTTATAAATATGCTGCAAGTCACATTTGTCGATCGTATGCGATAGCAGTCAGTGTACCTACTTATATAATTTCATTAATTGAATGTCACGGCGCGCATCGCCGGCCGCTAACCCAGTATAGGTCCGTTAAAAGAATTAATATTGAAAACTTAACAATAAATAATATTCGTTTGCCAACATCGCAGACATTTACATTATGCGGGATAATCTCATTAATATTTATGACGAAATAAAAATAAATTATCTTTGCTTACGTTCTTCGACCGTACCGCCACCTGCTCAGATTGGGGTACGCTCTTCTGTCGTCCGGATAAGGTTCGTTTTCGCATATCGACCACATCGCTATCTGTGCTGTGTTGACGTGTGTACATTCGTGCATTTTTTCGTCGCGTACCCAGAAACCCCTTTCATTTTTCTGACGTGAGAATAATAGGTATCAAAGTGATGTGCAGGTGTCTTCTACATTAATATGATGGAGACACAGCTTCACCTATGACATAACTCGGCGACATTTGGCTTTGTACGTTGCGATACATATAACAAAAGGCTCCGCATTCATTATATATAATACATGATTGAATTCCTCCTCTAAATATCGAATGAATGAACCGACAATGAACCAATTACATTTATAATGTTGATTCATATCAGTGGAAAATTAAGCACATAAAGGCAACGACGGCAACTAGCTCTATGTCTTTAACGTATTATTTACTATACGATACAATATTATTTAGTATGCACAATTCCGCTCCGCACCGCTCTAATACACATAAGAACAAAATATGACGTTGAAATGACTAAGTAATCTAATAGAATAATAAATGATAACATCCGCATTAAAAGAACTTACGGGGCATCATTTTATATTTAAGCGACAACAATGGGCCCGGCTCGTGTAGAGGCAAGTATTATTTTACTGTACAGTCGAGTAAAAAACTCCGGCTACAAAGTCTTAGGTGTCGAATACGACGCGTGCGTTCGAGACGATCCCTTCACAGCCGGATTATCCGACCACTGTTCTCGATTATACCAGTTTAGCATACTTACATTAATTAATTATAGAAACATTTTATTCTGTTAATTTAATAAAACGTCGTCTGAGCCTCTATTAGGACTTTTTTCCTCGATGGTCTTTTACGACAGATTCGTTCCGACGTCGTACAATTAATATTAATTAAGATTTAAATTGGTCTAATTACATAGAGCGCGCACCGTCTTCTAGCTAGCGATTCTTTGTACACGGACTACGGATTTTTTATATTCATATAAAATATAAGCTGCATATTTCATTATATATATATTTTTTATATACATCTTAATTAGTTCATGCAAAACTAAAAACAATATTAACATTTTGTACGAAGGCGATATGTAATTAGGTACGGAATTCATGATTTATGATTCCATTATGGTGCTTTTTAATACATTTCAGGGAAGTTAAGACTGGATGTTTTTATTCAGCTTGGACACTAACAGAATATAAAACATGGGAATAACGAGCGAGATTATTGAGCAAGTTACTATATAAAAAAATAACTTTACCATTACATTCGTATAAATTTATATGAATTATTATTAAAATGTGTTTATTAGGTGTTAAATATTTATAAAGAATACATTTCGAATTTTAGAGTTTAAACAAAAACAAAAGATGTGAATCGTACAAAATTCTATAGTACATATAAAAAGGTATAAAAAGTATTAAAATACGTTCTAAAATCCTAAACACTAAGTAATGATTATTGTTTTTTCTTTGTTTCAGGTAAGTGTAAATTAGCAAGATGGCGGGTTGGTGTTTTAACGGTGGTTTTAAAAAAGCAATTATACATAGAGAGAGCAAGTAAGCTGTAGCTCATTCTACCCCATAGAATATCAAAGTAAACTTAATATTAAGTTGTTATTTAATGCAGCTGTAAAATATGAAGCATAGGTAAAGCTTTTAGCGGCAGAGAGAACTTCGGTCTCCACTCTGAATAAATACACTACTATATGTTACGCCTTTCAGATTGTTACACGACTTAAATGCTAACAGCTTCTTTTAGTTTACTGCACTGGCGTTTTTGTGGCCGTAGCCGCAATTACCCCTTTCATTTTCTTCGTGTGCCACCGCTTTTATTTTATCCGCTTCGTCTACGATACTTTTTTTTATATTCAAGCGCATCGCCGTAAGTTTTAATAGCACCGACTGCACCCTTTCATCGCTGCGACAATGTACCTTATGTCGCCGCGGGCGTAAAAATTACGCGCTCACCTAGTGGTGTGAATTGTCTCTTAATTTGTGGTTTCACTATATTTCAAAGTCAGTCGCACGTTAGTGGATCATTGAAAGCGGCAAGGCTTTGCGTCACTGAGTTTTTCGCTCTGGATAATAGCTCTAAAAATGTTTTGCAGCGTGCCGCGTCGCATCGTTTGTAGTCGGGATAATTTGTATGATGCTGTTACGACGCCTGCAATAATGCCTTACAACACTATCCGTAACAAAAGAATCTTAGGGAGTGTTTAATTTAATTTAATTTCGTATGAAACCATACAATATAATTTATCCGTGTTCGAAGTGTGTGCAAAAAAACAAAACACATTGTCTACACGTTTATTGTGACACGTTGCGTTTTTTTTTTAAAACCATTAAGTGGCATCAGTACGTGAAAACATCGACGGTTCGTTGGGCTCCGGTTCCAAATTAACTTGCTGTGGGACTCTATCTACGAAACTATAAAGGCAGCTATATGACGCGGAACACGTGTACTTTGATTAGAGAAAATAGGAATGGCGAGAGTCTCTTCACACTATTAAAACATTGCGCTCCCCGGGCCGTAAATCAGCGTTTCTTATAGGCAAAGAGTCACAATAATTAAGTAGTTGGTTCTCAAACGTTTTCATCGGCACCCGGCACCCGGAGATGGCGGTGCGGTGTAGTGCCTTAATTATGACATTTCAGTGTTAAATCTCATTTTAATGCGACGTATGACGCTCTCAGCTTGCGGCCCGTTGAAAAGGTCCTCTCATTAAATTAGTCCGGCGGTTGGAGCACTATGAATTTACTTACTTCACGCACTGATTCACGTAAGTGTGAAACTCGCGCTCTCAGCCCTTCTGTGAATTAGCGAAACACTGCCTGAATGCCTTCTATGGGGAAATAAAACTACTATTTTATACAGCTAATTTTACTTCTGTTTGCCAACTGTGGACAATTTCTGGGTCCGCTTTTAAGGATACTAATGAAAGTTTTCATATTACTTATGTATTTGTTGTCACGTCATCTGAAACTTTCAATGATTTGCAACATCTACAATAAGTTAATTAAAATAATGACTTTTTTATTTATAAATAAAATTACACTATTGTTTACGTATTCGTAGGATTATTCTAAATATTTCTCTTCGGATGAATTGTCGTTTGTCATTAAATAGAAAACTCTGATTATAAAAACTTTCAATATTTTTTTTAATATTAATATTAAAAGCAAATATTAATATTCGAGTAATTAATATTATTTACAATTATTAATTTATATTGACAATTTGCTCCGAATAACATTATTTATTAACAGTGTGAAAATAATTCCCTTTCCGTTTTAATTACAAAAGTTCCTGGAAGTTGTCGGGTATTAAAGTTTGATATCATAATTATCCTTTAATATCGTTTCAACTTATATGATTGGCATCTATCAATAATTCTTTGATAAAAATTCCGTTTATGAGGTCGGTTTTACAAGGAAGGGGTGAACTAAGAATATCGTATCACGTCTTATATATTACTTAATAAATATTATTATTTTATTAAAATAAATTAGGGAATATTTTCGTTTTGATAAAAGATATATTAATTTAGTTTAATTTTTCTTCTATTCATGACGGTTGAAAATTATATATATATATATATATATATATATATATTTTTAATCAATCGTAATGTATTTGATTATATTTAGTTGTTGTTTTTTTTGGTTCAATACGAAAACTCAATATAATCATCTGGTGGATGTCGAGTATTTATAAGAGGATGTATTAAAAGTTACCAAAATTAACATTACTCTAAACTTTGGAGAAACAGGTTAATTCATTGTAAAGTTAGGTAAAGGTCACATACAACATTTCTTGTCACTTCATATGATGCAAAAACGTGATGAATTTTTACAAAATCTATCAAGCAACCACGCATTGCTGCTTCACAGAAAAATAAAATTGTATATATATTTTTAAATAACCTTTGCTTGTTACACCTTTCACCTCAAAAGCATCAAATATTTTAGTGGAACATTTCCTGTAAAATGGGAATATTGGCGCTTTAGCGTTCCGGTAAAGTTGGCAATTTGTATTTTATTGGTAAAAATTTCTAACATCGTATATGAAAAAGTAGCATACTTCTGTGGCAGATTTATCAAAAATTTGTTGTATAATAAAATATTCACCTCCACTAACCTGGCGGATCTATCTTTAAATGTCTGGATGTTTTTAAATAATGTGTTTTATATGCATGTACCTTAGAGTCCATAATTCCATAATAGCGTGTAACTACACACTATCGTAAATGTTAGCAAATATAATAAATTTCATTATAACGTGTCCATTCATTTAAACATAAATGTCTCAACTTTTTTAATCTCATTACGTCTATTTCTCAATACTAACTATTTATCACAATTTATACGCTAGGAATGGACTTTTAATCTAGTTAAATATTGCTTCATTTTAGTGAATAAAGCTTTAAAAAAATCGGATTTAAATCAAAAATTAATGTAAATACTAATCTTATTGTTTTTATAGAATGTTATTAAAATATATAATGAGTAAATCAAATAAAACCGTCTATAATTTCGTATGGAAATTGATACAACCTGAGATACTTGGACTCTGCTTCCGTATTTTATTCCTTTCTTTTGAACATCGGATCAATGTTTAAATAAAAATAATAACAATATATGCTTATCAAAACTGTCTCCCGCTCCATAATACCCTTCAAGATAAAAATTCAGATATATATTTGCTTGTTTCATAGCCGACCGAAATAATTATAATGGGTGCGAATGAACAATAAGGGAAGAATTTAATGTAAAATATGGGGTCGCATGGACATAGTGTGCGCAATGCACGCTTTTTAGTTTCTGCGCACACGACGAAGCATTCTGCTCTGCGAACTGAGGCTCATATTGATTGCGTAGTAACAATTTAAACAATCTTTTGGCATTTATAATTTTTGAGTTATGGACTTGCGGGACGGGATTAGATTCCCCTCCCTACAATTGATGGTACCCCGCTATCGGGCGGAGTTTTGTTTATTTAAATTACATTTTTTTATGCGGAGAGGAATTTTTTTTATTATAAGATATATTAGGTATGAAATTTTATGTGCCATTTAAAATAGTGCTTTCAAATA